GAGCACTTTGAACAGCGACGAGAGATGAGCGAGAAGATGGCTGCCTATGCCAATGAGAACGAGAAGCTACAGACATCGCTCAGCACAAAGGAAGAGGAACTGGTCGAAAGTGAGGATAAGATAGCACGTTTGAGGAAGAAAGTGAATGCTCTGGAGGAGAAAACCAGCAGTTTGGCGGAGCAGGAGAAAAAGATGGAGGAATATGAAGAGAAGATTGCTGTTCTGAAAGTGAAGATTAAGGCTTTGACCGCGAAGGAGAAGAAATTGGCTGAATGTGAAGAGAAGATTGGCGAATTGGAGGAGAAGATTAACGCGTCCAAGGACGAGAACTCGGAGATCCTTGGACTTCTTGCTGCAGCAGAAGAAAAAGCGACTGCTGCTGAGAACAAGGAAGCCGAGGCTACGATAGCTGCTGCAGCTGCTAAGACGGACGCCACTGAGCGACAAGAGCTGCGAGATGCTATTAAATCTCTTCGAAGCGAGCTTGAGACGTACCGTGCTCAACTGGCTACCCGAGATGAGGAGGTACACAAACCCTTTTACATTTTTGCGGATAATCTACCGGAGACTAATGTTTTTGTTGCTTTGCTTGACAATATCAGATTAAGAAGCAGCGAGAAGCCGCAATGACAACAGCTACAGCCACATCAGTGTCTCCAGAAAGGTGCGATGTTGTCAATCTGTCTAAAAGAGAATGAGAAAGTAATATTTGCGTTGCCGGACGAGCAGGATCGCACCAGATGACGATGCAGAGGCTCTGCGTGCTCGACTAGCTGCTGCGTTGAATCTGTTGGGCCAAGTACAAGCTCTAAGCCGTCACGGTGTGAGTTTGATCACCGGAACGAACAATCCGGACCTGGGAGACCTTCACTTACTATCAGCTGCATCGGCACGCACCAGTACAGCAGTTCCGGACTCGCCGTCGTCTTCTCCTAATGAAGATGGCCAACAAAACGACGAAAAGGACCCTGAAGATTCTTCTGTGAAGACAGATAAGGAAACTGCAAGGAAAATGGCGACTAAGGAGGTGCCAAGCAAGGACCAAATGGAAGACGCTGTCAACGGAGCAGCGGAGCCCAAGTCGTCACCACTCAAGTTGAAGCGCGAAAAGAAGAAAGCGTTCAAGCAGGCGGCCCCTCTCTCTGCTGCAATCGAAGCCAATGCTGCCTCAGCAATTGCAGCAATGGCATCAGTCAATAGCAGCGCCAAGAGCTCGCCGAGTGAAGCTAGCACCGCAGCCGCCAATGGTGACGGGGAGGGCGACTGGGAAATGCTGGAGTGAGGGCGCTGGATAAAATGCTTGTAGGTGTTGAAAAATGACGTACTCTTGCTTCCACTATCGCAAATTTTGCAGATCAATTTCGAGTATCAACGCTCAAATGCTAATATCAACCAATCAACGATGTCATGCTTGTTTTTATCACGTATTTATCCAACAAATTGCTGCTTGGTGTGGGGATCGCTGGTCATATCGAGACTCGCCCCCGACGCCACAAGTCAGCCATGCTTCGCACCGCTTTCCGTCTGCGTACTGCCCTGCCGGCCCAGCGCCGCATCGCCGCTTGCGTCTCGCGCAGCTTCTCCTCGTACCCGGATCACGAGGTTATCGGCCTGCCTTGTACGTTACAGCAACTTGAAATCACCGAGTTGCATTCTTATTGACATGACAATAATTTCATACAGCGCTGTCCCCGACCATGGAGACGGGCAACATGTCCAAGTGGAACATGAAGGAAGGTGACGCCATCAGCGCCGGTGACATCGTGTGCGAGATCGAGACGGACAAGGCCGTCGTCGACTACGAAGCCACGGACGACATGTATCTGGCCAAGATTCTCATCCCGGAGGGCGCTGAGAACATCCCTGTGGGCCAGCCCATGATGGTCGTGGTCGATGAGGAGGAATCTGTCGCCGCTTTCAAAGACTTCAAGC